GAGGCCTTCCTTGAATGCTCACTCTAAAACAGCCCCTCCCCTTCACCTCTACTGCACCTACATCAATAGCTGGTTCCTTCATTGATTTCTGATGGCACCACCCAGTGGGGTCTCCTCGAGAGCAGGAACATTGTCCCGCTCACGGCATGTCCCAGCACCTACATCAGCACCTAGTACACGTCAGGCGTTCCTGAGCTTGTTGAATTTTCCCTGATCTCTAGCACCGGCATCTTGTTCCGGCCCATTGCTTTCAGCCAGAAACCTGTAAATCCCGATACCTTCCTGGAAACATTCCAAGTCTTCAGCTGGTGACTCTGAGTCATCAAGGGAGCTGCGCAGACCATCCCCCTCCATCCCTAAGGCAGAGGGACGGGGGGTGGGGGGGGTGGGGCGGGGGGGCCGCGGGGGCCAGGAACACCAGAGGTGTCTCTATCGGGGCCAGAGGACTCGGAGAATGGTGGCACTGCTCCACAGTCCCGCACAGACAGCGGCAGGTCCTTTCGACCCTCGGCCCTCCCCCAGGCCTCTCAGGGGGCCAGTCCCCAGCTTCCTGGGTCAAAGAGTTCCCAGGATGTGACAGGTCAAAGCTGGCCCCAGGCTTCTCCTGGAATTACCCCTGTCCTGGAAGGAGGGTGAGGTCATGTTCCTTTTCACTTGAACTGGGAATAAGGGGATTCAGCCTGGGGAGCTCGCGAGAATTGCGGGTATTCGGAGTTCCAGTTGCCAGGGGAGCTGGATACTGCCTTCGCAGGTGTCCCCGGGCCGGCTCCCCTGGCTGGTTGTTTTTCTCCCACAGTGCAGTGCCTCTGATGCATCAGCTTTGCTGGAAGGCTCTCTCCTCTCTCCCCTGCTGGAAGTCACTGTGTTGTGCTTGTTGGTGGAGGCTGGTCTGAGCATCGCACAGAGCTGTGAAGGCTCGCAAGCACCTTGCACGTCTCTCTCTCTCCAGCCCTGATTTCAGTCTGCTCTTCTGCTTTGCAGCTACTCGGCTATTGTCACATCCCTCTGCAGAATTTTGGCATCCCTTCCAGCACCAAGCGGGCACAGTGTGGGGCCCGGTAAACGTTCATTCCATTGCACTCTTGGGCTCCATGCACTTTCCCCAACAATGTTCCCCCAATCCTTTCACCTGAGTCTGCTGCCCGCTCCGCTGCAGGAAGACTACACCTCAGGGCTTGCCAAACCAGCCTCTGTGATTACAAGGTCAGGCTTCCGGAGCTCACATCTGACGAAAATCCCCTGAGGCTGATGACCTCACATGGCCAGTGGGACCCTGACCCTCCAACGCACCCTCGCTCCCATGACAGAAAGCCAAGCAGGGCCGATGGGGTCCTGGCCCCTCATCCCTCGCTCTGCTGGGTGCACACAGAACGTCTCAGTGCTTCCTCCCTCCAGAGGTGCCCCTGGTTTCCATTGTAACCTGCTCTATCAGTTGGCCCACCCAACTCACTTATCACTCACTTATCAGCTGAGTGTGAGTGAGTGTGTGTGCGCGTGCGCACGCCTGCCAGTGGGGGGCCACTCCCTGGCCCTGCACCCTTAGCTCCTACCCAGTGCCCACCCATCAGACGACTCCCCCAACCCGAGCCTCGTTAATTAAGACAGGGCCTCCCAGTCACAGCATGGCTGGGAAGTGTGTCACCCTGAGATAAAGGGCTCATGCCACTATTGTGGCCAGAGAAGTGCAGCCTGGCAGCCCAGCTGCCCCTCAAAGACCCCAGGGCTGAGGGCGTCCGAAGGTCCTCTGGCTCCGGACTCTCACAAACTAGGATGCTCAGAGTTCAGGCGGGCCTTCCCTCTTGCAGAAGGAAAGAAACACAACTGACACAGTTTGCTCAAGTGACGTATTTCAATATAATCTCTAAAACTCTATGAATTGAACAGATAAAATACCTCTGGGCTATTTTGTTACAAAATATTTGCCATTTGGATTAGTCGCTGGGTGCAGCCCCCTGCCTTTCCCTAGACGGGGTCCTCTCCAGTGGGGTGACGGGGCGTCTGCAGGGAGGAGGGTGCAGCGAGAAGGATGTACAGCCCAACACAGGGACAGACAGATGGTTATCAGGGAAGCCTAACGGGTACGAAGAGACACTCTGGCAGGCTATGGGGGAACAGGTGGGGGTGGGGTGGGGTTAAGGATTTCAGGGGTCAAGGGCGCAGGGCTGATAAAGGTGTGTGCCCTTGGACACAGGCGGGCGGGCAGGCAAGCTTCCAGGTCAAGCTGCCCGGGCAGGTCTGGAGGTGGGGCTTGCCCAGAAGTGGGTGGAAAAGCTAGTTTCATCTCCACTCCTAAGTCTGGAGCTGGAGCCAAATGGATAAAATTGAGAGAGGGGCTCAGGTCCCCCAAAGTAAGGCCTAGAGAGTTGACAGAGTGGGGCATGTTGGGGTAACTGGGCACATACCCAGGAGGCTGTGTCCGGCGGCTCGGCCGTCACACCACTGCCCCTCAGCCTCGGGAGGGCAGGGGACGGGGGGCCTGCGAGCATCTCCGGCTGGGCCTCTGCAGGGGCGGGAGGCTTGTCCCAGGTGTCTGGGGGCCAGGCCCTGGGGATGGGGCCAGGGTGGGTCCCAGCCTTAGCCCGTTGGCGGATCAGGGGAGGGAGGATGCAGACCCTGGGGACTCTTGATCCCTTAGCCGGGAGGAGGGCCGGCTGAACCTTGCCCCAGGCCACTGGGGATTAAAAGCCCCTCACAGCGCCGGCTTGGCCCCCTGTGCTGCTGAGCCGGGCTGGTCTGCTTCCTGGGCCAGGACTCCCAGTGCTGCCAGCGGGACCCAGGGGCCCAGCAAAGTGCCCGTGGTGGGGGGAGGTGAAGCCCCTATGATCTGAGCATCCGGCTCCTCAGACGTCAGGGATGGAGCAGGGGTGGGAGGGAGGGGCCGGAGTTGCTGTGCCGGTCGACAGGGAGGACAGCACTCTGTCACCTGGAAGCGGCACGCGAGCAGCTGGCATACCGGGCCTGCCAGCCAGGACTGTGCTCCTTCCTCACCAGCCCCTGGCACTCGTGGCCACCACGCCGCGCAGTGTTCGGCCCCCTCCAAACCCCTCTTCCTTCCTCACTCACGCCCCCCGATGCCTGCCCCTAACTTGCACCCTGTTTCCAGCCCCTCGCTCGGGATTCCCTCGCTCCCATCCCCACGGCCCCGCGCCTGCCGCCCTGCCATCGCCCTTTCGGGGTGGCCCCTGCCCCGGCCAAGGGCAGCAGGTGTGTCTGAATTCGTGTGCCCCCATCTGTCAGCTGCTCTGTTCTGAAAGGCTCTGACCGCACAGTCCCTGTTTCAGTAGAGACACAACAGAGGGGACAGGACAACAGGGTGAAAGCAGCTCGGCTGCGGAGCCACAGTGGAGGGGGCAGCAAATTGGTCACAAATTATGGAACCCAGGCTAACAAAGGCATGGCCAGAAATAAACTCGCCGGGTGACATCGTAGCGATGTTGGGTGACTACACACATACAAACAAAACTAGGTCATCTGAAAGCACTGAGGGTGGGAGAAGAATCGGGGTCTCCTAGCTGGCCCAGGGGGCTGCGGTGGGACAGCGGGGGAGGTCCGGGAGGAGCACATTCGCCTCAGACCCGGCCCGCGTTCACCCCCATCTCTGGGGATGCTTGGATAATGGGCTCCGGGTAGGAGGGGAGCTCAGCGGAGCACAGCCGTGGGCGGACGGCACAGGACCGACGAGTCCAGGCTGGCTTGGGACAGATGCTGCCTGAAAGGGCATGACTGGGGCCCCGGCACCTCGTTAGGTCTTTGAGAAGGGGCTGCCCAGGCTCTGTGGGCACCTAAGGGTTGACTCCCCAATGCTTCTTGGCCCTGAGGTCAGTGAGCCCCACTTTGCTCTCCTTTGCAATTTTGAGGGTGCAGGAACTCCTTCAGCGCCCCCTGCAGGAGGTGGCCCTGGTGCCTTCCTGGGAGAGGCTTGGAGGTGGGAGATTCGAAGGCTGAGGGGCACGTTTGGGACAGCAGCACAGGAAATGCAAGCGCCAGTGGAGCACCTGCTTCTCTCACCCACTTCTGCATCCAGGTCCCCCATGCGCCCCCGGAAGTCATGCAACAGGGAGCCCTGACTCGCTGGCTGCGTCTGTCCCTGGGCAGCCCGCTGCGCCTTCGCCCTGTTTCTGCTTCCACGGTGGAAGAAATTAACCTAGTTCTCACATGTGTTAATGTTTACGCACTGTGCACACTTTGTGTTGGCTGGGTATTATTTGGGGCTAGGGAATAAAACTCTAGAAAGGTTCATTTTGTAGATATATGACCTCCCGTTTCCATGGCCCTATGGAAGTGACCTAGAGAGAGCTGAGACCGGTCCCCCGCCCCTCATCCCTTTCTCAGAGCTTTCTTGGAGTCTGGGCAGCCCCGGCACGCCCTGGGAGTGGGGAGGATGTGGTCAGGATAGCCAACATCCTTTGGGGGACAGACCCGGAGCCTCCTGAGCCTGTCAGGCTTGGGAGGTGGGCAGGGGCAGCAGAGAAAGCCCCCTCCTCACACTCCCACTTCCCTGGTTCCTCCAGAGATCCAGCCACAGCCAACCCTCCTCCCCCCGGGGCAGAGCCCGGAGCCGAGCAGGGAGTCAGGCCGCCCGCCTGTGGTGCGTGGGTACTGGCCTCCAGTCCCTCCCTCCCAGCCTGGGGCCCAGGGCTCAACAGACTCTGGACCCAGAAGCCCAGTAGGACCTCGGTTCCTGTTCTTTCCAGTCTAAGGTCCACGTGGCAGAGGGTGGCAGGAGGGTGAGGAGGCTGTGTCTGGCTGTGCAGGGCCCAGGACAGTGTGGAGGTGTCTCCAGACTGAAGAAGAGGGTGGTCAACTGAGTAAGGCGAGCATCGTCAGGCGAGGCAAATGCAGGCGCTACGGACTGGGGCTCTCTTTCCAAAACAACAGTGATGGTGACCAGGGATGTAGAACGCCAGGGCTGGGGGCAGCGAAGGGGCAGCCGGGGCTCCTGGGTGCAGCCCAGGGGCCCTGGTGGCAGCCCCCCAGGACAGCACTGTGCGGGGGACGGTCTACACCAGGCTCCTGGAGCCACTGGAGTAGCGGCGCCGGTGCAGCAGGGAGCCTGGCGGGCAGTACTGGTGAGGGTGGTTGTAGGGGGGTGGGGGCGGGGGCAGGGGAGGCTGGTGGGTGACCTTGACTGGGGAGCCTGGGCAGCCCAGGGGCGTAGAACCGCAGGAGTCAGAGGAGGAAGAGGCGTAGCAGGAGAGAGCCTGGCTTAGCAGGGGCTCCATGCGGGCCAAGCAGGGCTTGTCCAGGACAATGACCTTGACAATTTGCTGACACTGCACCAGGGTCCCTGGGGGCGTGGGTGGTAGTGGCGGCAGCGGCGGCGGCGGCGGGGGCTGCTCTCCCAAGGGGCTAGGCTGCGGGTCTGGCAGCGGCACCGGAGCTCCCCTCTCGGCCCCCAGCCCGGAGTTGTGCTGGGACGTTTGAAGCCTGTTGTGAATTGACACCTAGTTTAGAAACAGCCAGAGAAGCATGAAATGTTACAAGACTAATTCCCAGCTACTAGGACTGGCTACCCTGAGCCTCCCGTCTCCCCTTCTGGGGCTCCCGTGCCCATGAGGGGCTCTCGCCCTCACCTCGCCCCACTCCCAGTCTCTCCACCAGAGGAAAACTGGCAGCTGACGGAGGCCCTGACTCTGGGTGCAGTCAAGAGACCGATGTGTTCTGCCTCCGACCATGAGTAGCCTCAGTTCTCGAGGCCGCAGCCTCCTCATCCATGGGATGGGCAGTTAGACCCAAGGCTCCCAGGTGCTGCAAAGCTCTGCCTTCTGACTTCAGGGACCTGGTGGGTGCCTTTGGGCCGTGGGTAAACTTCTCCCCACCTTTCTCTTTACCAGCATCTGAGCTTCAAAAGCAGGGGTAAAGGTCTTTGCCACCCCCCTGCGCCTTTCAGGGGTGAACTGAGGACAAAGAGAGGACATAGGGACAGGGTCGAGCATCACTGAGACTCTCCAGCCGCTCCTCCCTCTGGCTTTGTTTAAGGGGAAGCCTCATCATCACTGCTGACATCATGAAGGCACCCAAACCCCCGAATGCCTGGGGCCCCTGCGAGGTGGTCTGGACCTTCCCCACCCCCCCAAGACTCCCCCAGGCCACGACTGCACATTCAGGAGCAGCCCAGAGAGCAAAGGCCAGAGTCAGATCTCCAGCTGCCTCTGTAACCCAACCTGGGTCCTGGTTAAATCTATTCTGCTGCAGGAGGGGGTGCCCAGAAGGGACTCTAATCTTTATCTCCTCAGTGGGGAACACCTCTTGCTCCAGGCACGGAGGTCACTGTGAGCCAGCTTGGCTTCCTCTTGCTGGCAGGGGGAGGGGGAGGGGGAGGAAATGGGCGGAAGGGAGGCCAGAGGATTCCGGAAGGAGTGGGTTTAATTCCTCACCCCCTCAGTGTCCAGATGCCACGCCCCCCTCCAACACCTGAGCCCTTTGGGGGTGGCCAGGGCCCTCCTCTCTGAGGATGCTTCCTGCTGTCCTTGTTACCAGCGCCCAGGACAGGCTTCTCAGAGCACAGAGAAGATCCGGGCTGCAGGGAGGGGACCTTATCCCGAGCCCCCACCAGGATGGCCTAGCTCCGAACTATCTCAGAGCCCTAAACCAGCAGATCTTAACCCCATTTCTCAGCAAAAGGTGCAATCGCGGGGACTCCTTCCTGGCTCTGTACACCCAGTGGACTGCTCCCCAGGCCCCTGTTCTTTGTCCTTCAGTAGTCACAAGCCCTCTCCCTGCCCCGCCCTCCCGCTCAGCAGGTGGCAGTCTTTGTTCTTCATTCTCAAACTCCAGCCTGGCAGCACTTTTCAGGCCTGAGATTCCCCCGAGCTAACAAGGGGCCCCTGAGCCCCGCACCGCCCTGCCAAGACACGGTGCAGGCAGAGAGTGCGGCGGGGCCGCCCTCCTCCTGGGGAGCCCTCTGTGGTCCTCACTTGGGCAGACTGGCTGTTTTCCCCACCTGCTTGTATTCTAACTTCTTCCCCAGGAGAAAAGTGGCCAAAGGGTGGGGCGGTGGGGGGACAAGCTGTGTCCCCCCTCCGTACTGCCCCTCCCCAGGCAAATGCCTAGCTGCCCCAGTCCAGACTCACTGGGCCCCCTTCCTCTTCCTCCCCCATGTCCTCACTCTGCACGTCCTCTTCACCTCTCACTTCCTGATTCCACCTTCACCGTCTCACCTCCCTCCTCCCCACCCCAACCTGATCCCTTATCTTTAACAGTAAGTGACAAGCAGGAAATGACACCAAACCATTCTCTCATTCTGACCCCCTTCTCACCTCCCTGCTGATGAAAGGAAAGAGAGAGAGAGAGAGAGAGAGAGAGAGAGGAGAGAGACTGAGGATGGAACATGAGTAGCGGGTCAGAATAGCTCGAAGATGGAGAAGCACCTGCCAGAGGGGCTCTGCCAGGCAACGGGGAAATGACAGACAGGGCAGAGGACAGGAGAGCTCAGGGCCCAGCTGAGGGGCGGGGCAGCGAGGCCGCCCCTGTGCAGGGGAGCGGACGCTGGCAGGGCCCGGGGCTGGCTGCGGGGGCGGGGAGGGCAGCCTTGCAGATAGTCACATGGCCCCTGGGCAGGGCGGGAGAGAGAACGGGCCTTCAGGTTGCTCGTCCCCGCTGCGTAGGTCGGGCTAAGGCGCGGGCAGGGCTGGTAACTTCGAGTGTTTATCTGCAAGGCTAGAGGATGGGCAGCTGCAGGAGGATGGGGAGAGGAAGGGCGGGGGATGGAATACCCACCCTGGGGGCTTGTCAGCTGCTGGGGCAGGAAGCTCCTCCGAGTAAAGGTGCCTCCTCCAGACACAGGTGTGTGGGGGGTGGGGGGCGGTGGGGAAGGAGAAGAAACTGGGCTCCCCTGGAGTATCCTGGGGCTTCCCTGAGCTGAGGCTGGAGGGTGGCCGGGCGCTTCCCTCAGACCTCTACCTGGGGGCTTCTCCAGCTTGGGGTGCCGTTTGGGAAGGACGTGTCTGTGTGAGCAGCTAGTGGTCCCCGGAGGCTTGGCAGAAAAGGAGTGACGGGGCTCGCTGGGGCCTGAGGGGAGCCAGTGCAGGACAGGGGCCCAGAAAGACCTGCAGGGGCAACTGCGTGCGTCAGTCTTCAGAAAGATTGCCTCTCCCCCAGGAAACCCCTAAAACGACCCCAGCCCTACTCTGCCTCCTTTTCTGCCGCACACCTCCCTAGCCCATGGCCAGCTTTCCCGATGGATCAGCTGTTCCAGAGAGAAGCTCCACCCTCCCAGCTGCCCCCACTCTCAAGTCTCCAACTTCTCCAAGAAGCATCCAGGAGGGCAGGGCCCACCCTGGAAGGGGTGACTCTCTGGAGGGGGTCTGGGCTCCCTCGCGGAGGATGGGAGGGCTCGGGGGAGGGGAATAGTAGGCCCTCTGATACAGCAAGTATCAGGGGATCTGCGAGCAGTGTGCTGGGGATGTGGGCCTGGGGCGTGTGGGAGGGAACGCCGTGGAGGGCTTCATCTGCATGGCGCTGGTCCAGGAGGGGACCGTGGAGGGCTATCGGCTGGGGCAGGCCAGGCTGGGGCATGGGAGAAAGTGCTGCAGCTTAATTGGGCGCTGGGACAGTGGCATTACCCATGCTAGCAGTAACTTTTAATTGTATCTCTTGAAATTGGTAAAATGGTGAGTCGGGCTGGGGAGGCATTGATTAATACCTGAGAAGAGAAACAAGAGACGGTGAGAAGAAGGACAAGCGGGGCACAGAATCACTCACCTGGGCAACCAGGCCTCCACTTACCTCCACCGTGCTCTCCGAAGGCCTCTCACCCAGCGCGGCTTCCCTTTTGGCTTTGAATGCAAAGAGCACAGGGCTCACTTTCCACCCTCCCAGTACAAATCCCTGCCCCGCTCTTAACCCCGCAGACGGCGCGTGCCTGCAACTAGAGGGCATGGTTGCTAAGACTGGGGGCCACGCCACTCCTGACAGAGGTGGCCAGGTCAGTGGACTGGCAACTGGAGCCCAGTCCTTCCACTTAATAGCTGTGTGACATGGGCAAGATGCTACACCTCTCTGCGCCTCCGCAGACCAAAAGGTCTCTGGCATGCCTTCTAATGTGGGCATTGTTAAGCCTAATTTACCCGCAGTCAAAGCTTTCCCAGCATGACTTTGCAAGTTGGTAATGAGCTGGCATTGGTTCTTGGCTCCTAGAAACACAAGGAGCTTCTACGGGCATTTGTGGGCACCATGTTAATCTCCTTCCTTCACATACAGGCTCCCTGAGGGAGGGGCCATGTTCCTTTTTTGTTCTATTCCTGCTGCTCAGCCCAGGGCTGGGTCCAGCGAGGTGAGGCCCCGCACAGCACTCACCCCAGGGCCTGGCTCTGCAGAGCCCATAATGGCTCTGTAATTGCTACAAGTGTGTTCTGACTGGCCTGGCTCAGTGCCAGGACCCTTCCCCGCCAGACACCGCCCCCCCCCTGCCCCGCCGCCATCCCCCGCCCCGCCCCCCATCACCCCCCCCCCCCCCCGCCCCAGCGATAGCCCGATGACTTTTTCTGACTCAGTCACCTCCCTCGGCCATCCACCCGCACCCCTTCCGCCCAGCAGGCATTCCAGGGCTCCTCTGCTGGAGCCTCTCATTTCTCACAACCCCTGGGGAGGGGGAGGCTGCCGGTCCCCACGCTAGTCCTTTCTGTAGCCCCAGAGGAGTCGGGCCAGCATTTCGGGTCAGGAGACACTCCACGAGGAGGCCCCCCAACAACAGCCCTGGAGACACAGCCCGGCCGGGGCAGGGCTGCAGCTGAAAAGAAGCAGGCTGCGGTGCGCAGCGTGCCGTTGTCTGTCAGGGAATGAATCACCGCTAAGACTCAGCTCGGGGGTTTAAACGGCTGTGAAAACAGGCAGCGACCCAAGTGCTGTGACCTAAAGGAAATAAAGGGGTCGGCGGAAGAGCAGGAGGGGAGGAGAATCACAAATGCCTGATGGCAGGTCAAACTCGGGACAGAAGGCGCCATCACAGCGAGAATCTCCACGCAGCTCAAAGAGCCGAGTCCTGCTTAGAAAATGACTCCGCCGCCCAGCTGGCGTTGCCCCGCCCTGTGGTGCGGTGACAGCCGGCATCCTGGCCATCACTGAGGCTTGTGGAGTTTCTCAGCTCCAGCGGATGTCTTGCCAGGCCCCTGGCTGTCCAGTGCTTAGCACGGGGCACACGGCAGGCGTTCGATGTTTGTTATATGTAAAATAAGTTCCTGAAATAACTAGTGAGCACATAGTTCTGGGTAGTTTGCCAGGGGCTTATGGGTATGGGATTTAATTCTCATGTCACCTCCCCTTTGAATTCTTTTTCATGTGGGTGAAGGTGGAAGCCAGTCTCCCTTGCTCCCTGTAGGGTGGGGAAAGGGAGGGCAAAGCATAGGAAGATAGAAGGTGTCCGTGGGAGGAAGGAAGCAGGCCCAGGGGACGTGGCCAAAGGGGGCACAAAGCCCGAAGCTGGGTCCATTCGTCCGGCAGCGCCCCCCCCCCCCGCCCCCCGTGCATCGGCAGTCTTCAGAGTGCGGGCCGGGCGGGGGTTATGAGGGCAGAAGGCATCTCCCTGGGGACAGGGTTATCAGGACTCCTGGCCTGACTCCCCCAGGGAGGACGGTGATGGAGCACAGGGCCCCGGGCCCCAGTGCGTCTCTCGCTTTCCTCCTCGCTCCCTCTGCTAAGGCCCCATGAGGTTAAGCCGGGAGCTCCTCAGCAGGAAGAATGGCCATGGAAACGAGCACGTCCCTCACCCAAATCTCCCAGGAACCCAAACCCAGGGGTACTAAGTGGCCTCCCTGCCACTGGATCCCAGCCATCCAGGCCTTGGGGGCTGCAACTCCAGAGCAGAGCCAAGGCTCACCTGTAGGCGATCCCTGCTTCAGCTGTGGGTCCGCCTGGGCTCCTCCAGACTTGAAGGAGAGGGTCTTTGCTCCCTGCTGCTTCTCCAGCTCCCCTAGAGAATGGACAGGCTCATGAACAGAGAGAAACCCTAACCTCAACCACACAGAGGTGAAGAAGAAAACGAGGAGACAGAGCAGGAAGACGACGAATCCCTAATACATGCTACAAAACATGGGTCTCAGAGTCTGGTGCCCTATTTCACGGCCAATTAAATACCCTCTGCAGCCTCTGTTTCTTCATTTGTATACAGGGATGACAAGAAGAGGAAGGTGGGCTGTGTGGGTTTGAATCCTGGTTCTGATACTTCCTAGCTGTGTCGCTTTAGGCAAGTTATGGAACTTCTCCATGCCTCACTTGAGGGACAGTGGTGCCCACTTCAAAGTGTCCTTACGGGGACTGACGTGAGGAAATACATTAAGGCACTGAGGAGGCTTGTGGCAAGTGCTCAATAAATATTAGCTTTTATTACAGAGTGTGCGAATCACTTGGCGCAGCAGACCTTGGCAGTGGCTGGTGCCGCCTAACCTGCTCGCAGTGCTTCCTGTGGCCCGGAGCCCCCTGCCTGCTGCGCTTGCACAGGGCGCGGAGCCCTCCCCGGGAGGGGACTCCTGTGCCCGAGGGCCTGTCGGTGCTGCAGACCCGCGTGGCTGAGGCATCTGTCTTGGTACTCAATTTCAGTGTTGCTCTCTAGACTGTAAACCTGTCCCTCCGTGTTCTCCGGGGGCTGCGAGAGAACTGCCAGTTACCGTCCTTGGAGATTTGACAGTCATTATTAAATCACTCCTTCAGCTTCTCTTTTCCAGGAGACATAACTCAAGTTCCTTTTATTAAAGCTGTTCCCCTGGGTCCCATTTTCTGCCTTGCTGGTTGTCTATAGTCCAGGAACACCACACTGCAACCCCCCAAACCAAAGCCATTTGTCCTGGTTGCCTGAATCACAGCACAGCATCAATCAATACGAAATACTTTTACTGAACTGAGATTTTTTTCCTCTCCCTGCAGAGGGGCTTTCTCGGCTTTAGAGAAATGAGCAAGGAGTCCAAGGAAGCTGGGTGCAAATATTGTTTTGTCACTGACCTGTGAATTTGGACTGCCTCCTTATGTTCTGTTAGATTCAGTTTCCTTATCTATAAGATGAGACGACTACTACTCACCTCATGGAAAGTGGTGGCTAGAATTAAATAATGCAATATGTTCAGCATTCAGCTCAGGTCTAGGCATGAAATCAGTGCTCAGTAAGGAGAAGCTGTTGTTGATTTTCATTTTCTCCTTTCTGCTTGCCTCCCTGCCCAGCCCTGCTTCTTCCCCCAGTTGCTCCTTCCCTTCTCCCCATCCGAAGAATAAGAGCCAGATGTGAGCCTCTCTCTTTACTCCCTTGCCCTCTAGACAGCAGGAGAGGATATTCACCTCTTGACTCTTGACATACACATTCTGGTGATATCTGCTCGTTTGTACTCTGGGGAGATAGATGGTGTGCTGCTCCCAGGCTGACGCGAAAAAGGTGCTTTTTCCAGCAATGCTGGTGCCCGCGGACCCATGTGGCTCCCCAGGGCTGTGTGGAGCCACCTGCGACATTTGGACAATGAGAGAAGTGAAGCTATTTCAGGGTGTGTCCTTGAAAGAGTTCAAGATCAACAGCAGAGGCTGCATCTCTGAGCATTCAACCCAGACCTCCTGAAGAGAGTCTGTTTGTCACACTGGCGAGCTCGAGCCTGCCAACAGCGCGCAGGGAGGGGATTGACAGGTTCCTCTCCACCCAAGCAGTTACGGAAGTTATATAGTTGGCAGAGTCTTTTGTTTGTTTTAACTTGATTTAGTTTTGGTTGGTTGGTTGTTTTAGAAACTATCAACAAAACCTCTTCTTGCCCTCCCAGAGTGGGAAATACCGGCAGACCCTCAAAGTCAGACTTAAATGCAAATTCCAGTTCCTCTGCTTTTGGTAGGCATGACCTTGGACACACCTCTCAACCTCTCTGAGTCTTATCTGGCAAATGGGGACCAGGCACGCGCTGTGCAGCATCACCATGAGGATGAACAGAATATGAACAAACTGCCTAGCACGTGGTAGGTGATCCAAAACACTGATTAAAAAGCAGCACTCTGCAATACAGCTCCCTGCTCAAAACCCCCCGCTGCCTTTCCTGTGCCTGAGGCAGAACTGAAGTCTAGTTTTATTTATTTATTTGTTTACTTACTTACTTAATCTTTATTTTTCATACAGGGTGCCATTGCAGGTACCCTCAGGGAACGCACTGCTGTGTTCAGATATGCAGAACAGAGCAAAAGCATGTTAGCATGCTGCCTCACTGTACACGGAAAACTGGGGAACATCTTCAGATACTAAGACTAGGAAAGAAATGTGTTAATGTCATTTGTTGAAATGTGTATGAATCACCCAGCAATGTTATTACAGGCTGTCTTCACCTGAAAGGAGAAAGGCAGTCTCTCTGCAGCCCTGGACAATCCTCAAATGCAGGTCTAGTGAAGGTACAAACAAGCAAGGATGAGACACTGTGTTCCATTCTGAAGGGAGACTGATTTGGCACCGGGCTCAGTGTATTTTAAAGAGCTAATATAGCCATCTTAATAGTTTAAGATTGAGTTTCCCTCACCACATAAGCTGGCAATTGGCAAAATTGAGGATTTCTGAAACATTAGCTGAATAAGCCCAGGGTTAAAAAAAAAACCAGAACACTGTCCATTGAACAAAATAGCTACTTCATAACTTCTGCCCAGCTCTCCTCTGTTGTCCTACAAAAACTCCTCATGTGATGAATTTTAGTAAAACCCCCTAGCAACTGTAACAGACCTAGCTCTAGATACTAAGTATCAGAAAAAAGTGCCTGTGAAGTGTGTGTGTCCAGGGAAAAATGGCAGCGTTGCTACTGGAGGTGTCACGTTTCCTCTTGATGTTGTCAAAGGAATCTGTTCCCATGTAGTCAGCCGGGCCTTGTTCCCACCTCTCCCTCCGTTCTTCTGAGGATACAAAAGGCTGTGCCGTAGCCAGGGGCTCCCCAAGGGGCAGATGTGATATGGCTCCTGAGACATCGCGTGTAGGTATGACTGGGTATCTTTGACGAGGCCGAACTGTTGGAGCAGAGGTAGCACATTGGTGGTGAAGATGTCCCATCACAGGCTGAGGAACTCTGGGTGAGTCATGGTGGCATCATGGGACTCACTGTTGACACTTTTTGTTTTAGCATCGTAAGTGTAATTCCATGGTTTGATTCGTCCCAGAAAATGCACAGCTTTGGCATTTACACCAAACGCTTTAAATGTTGGGAGGTAGGAGTATATAGAAATGCTGCTTAGGTTATAAATAAATGGCAGGTGCTTTTCTGATATCTGTTGTTGCTCAGCTGCTAAAACACATGTTCACTAAACCCTGGTCCTCACCATCAAAACTGCCTTGCTCAGGGGCCATGCGCCACAGCCGACTGCATGTTGCCACTGAGGCTGATAAACAAAGACCCCGGAATTGAAGCGGTCAGGCCCCCCTGGGTCTGGAGCCGCTGATGAGTCTTCTCTCTTGAAAAGGTCATCAATATTTGCTAGAACCAGAGTATCTGCATCCATGAATACACATTCTGAATACTGTGTAAGTGGCCAGCAGGGGAGTTTCGTTAACGTGACACCCAACCCAGGCCTCTTCATTAAGGTTAGATGAGCAGAATCGCCACTGTCCAAAACCTCTCTGCCTTGATGACTTCACCACGGCTGTCTCGAAAACTTTTCTCATGGAGCCTGAGGCCCGTGGGCACCACCAGCCTCCTGGTGGTCCTGTGCTGTGTCAGAGCTGAGCCCAGGGCCAGGGCTCCTTTGGCGGAGGAATCATTCGCGGTCACTGCCACAAAGGCCTGGCCTGCCAGGGTGCTGCCGGCGGGCAGTGGCTGCTGCAGCCGCAGGCTGGTGGCGGGGAGAAGCCGGGCGCTGGGCGGACGGACGGAGCGCGGCCGGCGAGTAGGCGTGGCCTAGTTTTATTTTCTGTTTTACTTTCTGAGTCCATTCTTATTTCATTGTCTTAAGGGGTACCTGAAACCACAGCAGTGCTTAAATAGTAAAAGCTTGCAAATGAGCATAGGCTGCAGATCATCGCTGCTGTTTTCTTAAGCCGGAAAGCAACCAGGAAGCCACCCAGGTATATGAAGAGACCCATGTTTTCTAAAATGCCTGAACCGGAATAATCAAGAATCACGGCTTTGTTTAGGAACAGAAAGACCAAGATGTGGGACAGTCAGAACACCAGGCTGGGCTCTTCTGAAAGACAATGTCATGAAGAATTAAGTCAGTGGACTGTTTCAGATGAAAAGAGATGGAAGAAACAAAACAACCAGATGTAGTATGTGAACCTGGACTGGATCCAGGGGAAGGGGCTGGACAGGGAGTTTGATGGGAGAGAAGCTGGGCCCTGGACTCTGGTCTGCATTCCTGTCTTGGTCGGCCCGCTCGGCGTCCTGGTCCAGCGCAGCGGAGTCCTCTCCGCTCACAGGCCCCCGCCCGAGCGGGCTCTAACCTACCGCACTGTAATTATGAAGAAACAGAAGAGCAGTGCACCCACGTGGGGCCACGATGGTGACGGCAGGAGGGTCCTTGGCTCACCCCATGCTCACTCCTGCGTGGGGGAGAAAGTCAGAGCCATGTCTGTCTACCAGCTGACTCTCTCCCTCGCTGACTAGGAGCTGGCCCGCCCTCCCTGCCAACCGCGCAGAAAGCCTGGGATGCACGGCGTCCTTACACTCTATCCGGATCTGCTCCAGCTCCGTCACCTCGGCAATGGACTCCTTCAGGTCCTCCACAAACTTCTGCATCTCGTCCGAGCCCAGGGCACAGAAATGCAGCACCTGCCTCTTCTCAGAACCCGAGACTGGGGTCACCAGGGTGATGCCATGAGAGTAATCTGGAAACCAGACCCCAGGCCCATGGTCGTGAGCGGCAGCAGATGAGGCAGGAGCCAGTCCAGGGTGCTCGCCCCCTCTGCCCTCCCTACAGCCCTCAACTTCCCCCAGCCATCCTCTGCCGCATCTCCGGCCCCGCCGAGACTCACACTCATTCTCAAAGAGGTGGAACTGCATGCCCAGCAGGCCGACCGACTTGCAGAAAGTGTACGTGGAGGAGCTCTTCTTCTTTGGGCAAAGTTTGAGAATCTGTCCAGGAGAGGGAGACAGAGATGCACTGGCGGGTGTTCACATGCGTGTGGCTGCATGAACTCCCAGGGACGATCCTGAACACACAGGCAAACACACCCAAAGATACCTGCACACACATGCACACTTGTATACTTAAGATATGTTCACACACGTGCATATACATCTATTGAATACATCTATAAACACATATACAATCAACACCCACTGTATCAAAATATGTTTGTTTTTCTCCACAAAACCCTCCAGTGGCTATTCCCATGGCTCTTAGGAGAAGCCAGTCCACACTTCCTGCGCCACCGGATCTGGCCCCTGCCGTACTCTGGCTTCTGCTCAAGCCACACTCTCTTCCTTTCTGTAGCTTGAACAGGGCAGGCTGAACAATGCCACTGCAGACCTTTGCTCACGTTATTCCCTTCCCGTGACTCTCCCTGAAGCGTTTTGCATACCTGGGCTACTCTCATTACTTAGGTCTTAGATGAAATGCTACCTCCTTACAGATTCTTTTCTTGACATACTATCTAAACAAACAAACAAACAAAGTCCACCTAAACACCAGTCGCTCTCTATCCTGTTACCCTGTTTCTCTGTCTTCACAGCACCTTCCTCCCAATTTGATACCATCTTCTCTGTTTTCTTACTTATTTTTTATTTCCCTTCTCTGCTAAAATGAAAGCTCTGTAAGCCAGTTGCTCCATACACGCATATTTCTTGAGTAGCTTCCTTGAGACGGGCTCTGGGGATACAGGAGAGTGGGGCACAGGGAGAGCCCTGCCCTCGGGGGGCTCCTGCTTCAGTGGCGGAAGACAGGCATAAAGAAAACAAACACTCAAACAAACAAAAAACAAAGTAGAGGAATGGATACATAAGGCAACTCAGAAACTGAAAAGTGTTCTGAGGAAAATGAAAGGGTAAGGATTAGACAGGCTCCCTGACTGGCAGGTTCCCGTGCGAGGTGGCCATGGAGGCGCCTGTGTGAGGAGGCGGTGTTTGAACTGAGACCTGAATGAAGGCAGGGCAGTGGTAGGGAAAAGTTGCGGGGCGGGGGGGAGGTCGGATGAGAGGGAGAGCTTTTCAAGCAGCAGGAGCAGCAAGAACAAAGGCCTGAGATGGAATGAGCCGGGCCCATGGGAAGCAGGCTGCGGGGCAAGGTGCCAGGGCAGCCCGGGAAGCAGCGAGGGCACGAGGTCGGAGGCCCTGGAGGCAGCAGGCAGGGAGGCAGGAAGTTCTCCTGCACAGGGAGCAGGGTGAGGCCTGAAGCCCGGCAGACTGGCCTGATCTGCACCCGGAAGGATCACTCCTGGCTCTGTGGCAGGTGGACCTTCGCATGGGATCATTAGATTTGGGATAATTTTAGAAGTAGTGTCAATATGACTCATGACTAGAGAAGACATGGGGAACGAAGGAAAGACAGAAATCAAATCCTGTTCCCACTGTTTCCCAGCACTTACAATGCCTGGCACACAGCACACACTCATTAAACATGTGTGGATGGATACCTGTCTTCAAAGACCAAAGAATGAGTACCATACAGACGTGGGCGCGCACGGACACATGTGTGAGAGCACGCACACACACACCGCAGCATCTCTCCAGGCCCAGGGACAGCGCCTGCCCCGCTTAGGTCCGGAGACCAGCACTACATGCTCTGGCAGCGAGACACGAAGCGCATCCCTGTGCCCTGTCGGCTCCAGGCTTCCCATGGAGAGAAGGAGGATCCGGAATCTAATTCGTTTTCACCATGACTGTGGAAATGACTTAACCTCTGTATGCCTCGGTTTCATAACTTGCCCCTATCTGCCCCAGCTACCTTACACTCCATGGATGCGAAAATGCCACCGATAAGGTCAATCAGCCTCTAAGCACACAGCATTCTGTGGCAGTCTGGGAGGGCCCCTCCCGCCTCCCTTTGTCAAGGCCGAGCAGGGCAGCAGGTGCCCTGGGCCAGTCTGCTCACCACCAGCAAGTCGTTGAAGAGGAACACCTCCCTCTGATGCGCAGCCTGCTTCTGCAGCTTGTTCACATCCGTCACCTCAAAGAGCCGGCTGCAGCAGACCAGGCGGCGATGGGGCACTGACAGCACCTGGGGAGAGGCCCGCGCTCAGCAGGAGACGCCAGAGCTCCGGGGCCTCCCCGCCCCACCGCACCCGTGTCCCAGGAGAGCCGACGGAGGCCTGGGGCTTTGTCACAGGGCCTGAACTTGACCCTAAACCTCCTCTCCCCTCACTGGGTCTCTTTCCCCCTCATCATGTTTCTCAGGGAGCAAGGCCGGGCCTCATGATGCTGGAGTAAATGAGGAGGTAAAGTGGATAAGCACTTTCACACTGTTCACATCCAGTCGCTGTCACCCCGTTTCCCACCAAGGCCTTCCTGAGGCGGCGGCCTGCGGGATGGCAGCCCACCCCTCTCCCACTGCACACCTGAATGCCCGTGTGCAAGAGGGAGGGACCACAGGGGCACCTTGAATCTGCTCCCGGGTGTAAAATGGCCTGCTCCAGTGCTGTCTGCAAACCAAGGAGATGCGAAAACCTCAGTGACGTAGGCTCTGAGCCCTGGCTGGGTGGCTCAGTTGGTTGGAGCATCATCCCATACACCAAAAAGTTGCAGGTTCAATCCCTGGTCAGGGTACATACCTGTATTGCAGATTTGTTCCCTATTCGGGGCATGTACAGGAGGCAACCAATTGATGTTCCTTTCTCTCTCTCTCTCTCTCTCTCTCTCTCTCTCTCTCTCTCTCTCTCAATATATCCTTGGGTGAGGATTTAAATATATATATATATATGGACTCGGGGCAGAAAAGGGCCATTGTTGTGCAGGCTGGACAGAAGAGCCAGTGTACAGCCCCAGACGACGTCCCCAAAGTGCCCCCCAGCAGTCCAGGGAGGGGGAACTGGAGATGGACCCCAGAACCCACTTCACACCCTCTGTATGTGTGGCATAAAGAGCCTCTGCTGGCATGTAAGCAAAGTAGTAAACTACAGAGAATGCTCAACTTAAAAATCACTGCAAACTCGCAACATACAGCCTGAGACACAGGTCACAACTAAGGGCTGCCCCGATGATTCGAGACACTGCAGTCAAAATCATACATGAGCCTGTTTTCTGTGTTCTATCCAGCAGGAACAGCCAGGACTGCCCGGTATCCACCCCATCCTACACCTCCCCGGCTGGCCATCCAGATGCTTCAGCCGGAGAGCCCTGGGCAGTCCTGCCCAACACCTCACCTCAGCCTCTCCTGCTGCAGCAGCTGGGAGCAGGAGGTGATGAGGAAATGAGACAAGGGAAAGGAGAGGGTGCAGCGCATGACACAGTAGGGATTCAGTAATTACTAAGTGCATAAGTAATAGAAAAGTGTTTTTGAAAGGCAAGGAGGAAAATGGGAGGAAGTGTCAGGAAGAAAGAAATGAAAGGAGGTGGGAGAAGGGGGTGCTTAGCAGACAAAGGAGAGGACGTGACCCCCACAGGGGGCGTACTGGTCTGCAGCGGGCACTTACTGTCTTCATGCCCACGATGGACTTCTCCACTTTGGTGACATATGTGACGTGGTCCTCGTTGGACTTGAGCTCCTTCTGCTGTATCCTTTCATAGATGCCTACCACCAACTCCCGGGGGATGTCAGCGCCATCATCCACACCTGGATTGTGAGAAGCGGGGCAGGAAGGTGGAGGAGAGAGGTGTCAGAGATCTGGAGCCAGAAGGGGGATGTCCCCTCCCAGATAGATGCTCCTAAAGGGTGGCCTTCATTTTGCCCTGTCCCTTTTCCAAAGCCTTCAATGGTTGGCTCCCCATATCCATTCGACTAAGGATAAACTCCTTAGCCAGGCATCGCTATTATATGGCCCCAACCCACAATTCCAGCCTCATTTCCTGCTGTTCCAGAACCTCCACTCCCACCTCCAGGCCTCCGTTGTCATTTCCAAATACAGCGTCGCCGGCCCTGCTGTGTGCCTTTGCCTCTGCCGTCCTCTTGTCCTCCATGCATTGGTCTAACCTCCCCTCCCCCACCTCACCAGGAAAGCATCTTTAAGACTAATGCTCTGTCTTGTTTTCTTTTGAATTTTCACCCCCTCTCAGGCTTTCCCTTCCCTTCCAATACGGAGCACAGTGTTCAATGATTAGTTGCTGAGTGGGTGACAAGATTCTTCCCTCACTGGGAATGCGGCGGGAGTTGGACATTGATTGAAGAGGCGCCCCCCGCCCCCACCACTGTGGCAATGCAGGTAAGGAGACCCTCTACCCATCTCCTACTTCATAGTAATGGTATAACTCTGGTAACAAATATTATTAGCAGGAAATACAGCAACAGGGTACATTGACTGGGTAGCTTGGTTGGTTAGAGCATCATCCTGATACGCCAAGGTTGCAGGTTCAGTCTCTGGTCAGGGCACATACAAGAACCAACAAACGAATGCCGAAATAAGCAGAACAACAAATCCATGTTTCTTTCTAACTCTCTCTCTCCCTTCCTTGCTCTCTCTAAAAGTGATAAAAAAATTTTTTTTAAAGAAATATATCAACATGAAAACAAATTTCTTTGGAAGTAGAAACAGAGGCAATAAAAAATTTTCTACTTTTTCTAAATCTTTAATGACAATATGCTTTTTTGATAAGAGTGAAAAATTGAAAATAAAACAACTTTGGCAAGTGTCTTCAAAGGAGTTTTTGTATGAATGAAACAACATTCACCTTCTGTGAGCAACTCCCTGTATGAACTCTGCTTCTTCCACATCTGTACCTGGTTCCTTTCTATTTTTTTTTTAAGAAATTTTATTTATTTATTTACTTATTTTTAGAGAGTGGGGAAGGGAGGGAGAAAGAGAAGGAGAGAAACACCAATTGGTTGCCTCTCGCACACCCCCAACCTGGACCTGGTCCGCAACCCAGGCGTGTGCCCTGACCAGGAATTGAACCAGTGACCTTTTGGATCACAGGCCACTGCTCAGCCCACTGCGCCACTCCAGTCAGGGCTGTACCTGGTTCTTAAATGTGAGCTAATGGGTCATGTAGCACCTCTGGGGGCATGAGAGAAATCAGGCTGTGGGCAAGAAAAATCAGGAATCAAGACTGAATACACAGAGGCTCCCAGGTAAAGATGGCAGGTTACACACCTCTTTCAGAATGTTCTGATGAGAATGAATTTTTAAAAGAGGCTGCACCCACAAAGACAAAGAAGATGAGGAAGAGACAATGGCACCAGGGGGCCTGAAAAGCAGAAGAGTGAGTGAATGGATTAGCAAGCTTAAGAAACTAGACAGGGAAGCAGGACAGAACTTAGCAGGGCTCTAGAATTGGTGGCAGTAAGATCTCTTAACGTGGAGGTGGAGGTGGGCTTGAAACAGGAAAATAGGTTGAAAATCTGGAAAACATTTAGATTTCCCTATCCCTCCACTGCAGCAGAACACAAAGGTTAATCCTGTGGAAGGGGTGAACCAGCAACTCCGGGCTGCCAGACCCCAAGCCCAGCCTAAGGGGGGAGTCTGCGCTGAAAACTGGAGGATGGAACTGATGTCTTCATAGTAAGAGACACCCCTCAACCCTGTGCACCTGCAAAGATCTCAGAATGTTGGCAGCCAGACTCATAGCTTCTAGAAAACAGGTTGGATATTCCTTTTCTGGGGAATCAACCAGCACAAGAGGAAACATCTAAAGACACCACTGTAGGGGTCCCCCAACGAAATAGCTTAACTGAACCTCCCTATGAAAAAGTCTACCACTCAGCAGCCCGCCCGTACTCAATGAGTGTTTAATCAGCTGTTTAGTGGCTCACTCTTAAATATAAGGGGACAACCAAGTTTCATCAACTATACAGGAGAAAGAAGTATAGGAAATACAGAAAACGGGAGCCAGAAGAAATAGAGGCAAGCAGGAAGAAACTGAAACAAATACATAAAAACGTATTATTAATGTCTTCAGAGACCTATAAGAAGGTATTGCATTTACAAAACAAAAACAAAATGCTATAAAAGAGGACTATTTAGAGAACAAAAAGAGAGTTATTTAAAAAGAAAAATATGACAACAGAAATGAAAAATTTACTAGGAAACTTGAAAGGTAAAGCTGAGGGATACCTTCAAGAAAGTCAACAGGAAGACAAAGACGGCAGATAGAAAACTGTAACAATTAGAGAATCGAACTCGGAGATCTAGCACCTGAATAATAAGAGTTCCAGAAAAACAGTACAGAGAAAATGGAGAGGGGAAACAAATATGATATTTAGAAAACTTCCCACAATTGGAGGACTTGTGTTTCTAGACTAAAAGAACAACCCAGTGCCTAGTGCAATAGGTGGGGGAAAAACCCATAACAACCGTCACATCATGATGAAAATTCAGAACACAAAGGACAAAGAGAAGAACCAATAAATTTTCAGAGAGACCAAGAAAAAATAATAGCAAAAGGTCAGGAAGTGGAATGACAGAGAATTCTTTAACATTGTCAGTAAAAAAAGACACTGGTGGAGCACCTTCAAAATTCTGAGTTCAATGTTTCCTATCTGAATTCTACTCCTAGCCAGACTCCCAGTCGAGAGTGAAGGTAGTAAAAGATAAACCCAGACACACAAGTTCTCAAAAAGTTTGCCTCCAGTGTACTTTTTTTCCTGGAAAAAATTATGTGTACCTTTCTCTGTCAGAAGAAAGTATAAACTCAACAGGCATCTAACACAGGAGCAGGGAGAAGGAGGTGCGTGGGCCCTGGTGAAGGGAGGCGCCCCGCGTTGGCTGCGCGGAGCAGCTCAGAGCTGGAGGCCCCTGGAGAGATGGCGCCCAGAAGAGGAAACTCACGGGATACGTCCTGGCGCTCACTGTGTTTAGAGGAACTTGACACTGAAGGTGGAGTTTGGAGATGAATTAATGGCAGGTACTTAGAGAGCTAAGCAAATAGACAAAGAACACAAGTATTCACTCCAAGGAAAATAGAGATAGAAAAGATTTGTAATCATTATATCCTCAAGACTTAGCTTTGGATTGTGTTTACCTAGTTTTAATAACATAAAGACTGAGGTCACAAAAATGATGTTGAAACTATACTGAGAGCATGAGGCTGTGACCTGGTTTTAGCGGGGATGGGTTGGGGAAGGTGGATGAAAGAGCTAAACCCTTCTGTTCCACAAGGGGAGACTACTGTGGTCTGAATGTTTGTGTGCCTGCCAAAGTCATAAGGTGAAATCCTAATGCCCAAAGGTATGAGGAGGTGGGCTTTCAGAAGGGGCTTAAGTCAGGTGGGTTGAGCCCTCAGGAATGGGATTAGTGCACTTAGGAGAGAGACTCCGCAGAGCCCCCTCCCCGCTTCCTCCATGCGAGGACACAGTGAGAAGCATCAGCTAGAATCAGGAAGTGGGCTCTCACCAGACACTGAATCTGCTTGTGCCTTGACCTTGGACTTCCAGCCCCCAGAACTGTGAGAAATATGTGTCTAATTTGTATAAGCTACCCAGGCTGCAGTATTTTGTTATAGCAGCTTGAACAGACTAAGACAGAAATTAATAGATAACACATATGCTTTTAAAAGTGATTAAGTAGCAGAGAATGAGAGAAACCACATACCAAAGTATATATACTGTATAATCCCATCTGTATGAAGTTCAAGAACTGGCACAATTAGTCAATGGTGATGGAAGGTTGGAGAGTTGTTACTTTTGGGCAGGGGGACTGAATGGAAAGGAACATGAAAGAATGTTCTGAGGGGAGGATAGCAATCGATGTTCAGATCTGGGTATGATTACAAAGGTTTACAGGAATATAAACATCTGTCAAGAGCTCAGATATATAAACCTTACATGCACGGGTATGCATTTTTATACCCATAAGAAAGGAATAAAAAAAAGGAAGCAGAAGGAAGCATGTTGTTTAGTGATGTAGAGGAAACACAATAAAAGCAAAAAAAGAAAAAAAAGTGATTGCCTCTAAGAAAGGAGAATGGTAACAGGGGCAGGGACTAGTTTGTTGCTTTTTTTTACGAAGCCTTTAGAACAATTTGATTTTATTAAATTATGTTCATGAATAACCTATATTTTTAAGATGCGAAAAAGGAAACAATCCATTGAGCACACACAACACCCTACCAGTTTTCTTCGATCCCTGCCAGGCGGTGCGCTGTATCAGTTAGAAGAGGATTTGGCTAGTAGATGCCGTACATTATCTGCAGGGCTGACTTAAATGGACCCAAGACTTAAAAGCCCTCACAAGCTGTGTCGGGGGGGATGGCTGTACCAGAGGCAGCAGCCACGGTTCCAGGGGCCTAGAGGTAAACCGATGCAGGACAGTCTGTGCTGGGCACGGGGCACTGCCCAAGGGCCCTTGCTGCTTGGTACAGGGCGGTGGCAGTGGCTCCTGGAAACTCCCCACATGCCTGGGATGCAAGCAACTTTCCCGGGCTGCTGTGCGTGGCCAGGCCCAGAGAACAGCATCCACTGCCCTTAGGCGCTGGAATGACAATCAACAACTGGGCTCAGACTCACAGAGTCAGCACTGAACAGAACAGGTTCTAGGCCGCAGCTCACCACCCCCAGCCCGCCCCCACCTCCTCACCTCGAAGGTTTCGGATGAAGTCCTCCAGCATCATCTTCCGGTCAGGCTTAATATTGGGGCTGTACATGTCAGTGTTGAGGAGGATGATGGCGAAGGCCAGGATGAAGATGGTGTCAGGGTTGTGGAATTGTTGTACCACCTCGGGGTTGCACATGCAGTAGCGCTGGCTGTGGTGGGGGACACAGGGTGAGGGACACAGCTAGGGGGCTGAGGCCCCTCGCCCACCATCCCTAGCTCCAGTAAGGCTTTAGGTCTGGGCAGCCTCCCCACCCCGACCCCGCTGCCTCAGCCTTCCCGCACCCTGTCGATCCCAGCCGCGGCCTGGCCCTCTTCCCCTCTGAGTGGACAAGACAGGTGCCACACACCCACAGATCCCACGGCAGCAGCCTTGCTCAGATGCTCAGTAGAAATCCGCACGTTGGTGGGATGAGCGGGATGCATGCAGGCCGCCTGAGGGCTGTTCCGTCTCGGAGAGCTCAAGGGTTCTGTCCCTTTTCTTTCCTTTTCTCATTTGTATCCAGCCCACCTCTCCCACCTCTCCAGGAAGGCTTCTCCCAGCCCTCGACTGACCCTCCAGCACCTCTAGTCCCCCAGGCCCACAGCAGCTCTTCTTCCCTAGCCGCCCCCATGCCCCAGGTGCATGTTTTGAAGGGTATTTGAAGGGACGGAGCTTCAGAAGAGGGTGCTACCTGAAGGCCTCTATGAGCCGCTCCACTTTCTGGGCTTCCCCCTGCACACGGATGTGAGCCTGGAACTTGCGCAGGGCCTCGTCCAGCTCCATGCTGGAGAAGTCCATCTCATCCACCACGCAGCTGAGGGCAGGCGGGAGGAGGGTTGTGAGGAGCGGTGAGGAGAGGAGAACCAAACTTCCCCCATCTCACTGGCGCTGAGGGGTAAGGTGCAGCCCACCAGGGCTGGGAGACCCCACCCTACTGGGGTGAGGGAGGGACTTTGGTCTCTGGGAACAGCTAGGAGGGGACTGGTGGGGCCTCCCAGGCCTTACTCACCTGCCAGGGGTCTCCATTTAATAGCCTAAGAGACCTTTTCTCATATCTCTCATCTAATACAATGGCCTGGGAGGCAGGTGGCTGAGTGTTATAAGAATCTGAGGCCCAGAGAGGCTAGCTAGCTGCCCAAGGCCATAGGGCTAGCAGGAGGCTGAACCTGCAAAGCCCAAGCCCGTTCTTCTCAACCTCAGAGCATCTCAGTGTCAGACAAAGGGTTAAGATGTACATAAATTTACTCTTCATAAGTTCACTCTTCTACTCTTCCAGAGACCTGTTAGGAGTCCACGTGTCTCCCTAGCTTCCCCGTCTAGGCCCCATTTGGGTTTCGAGGTGATGGGATCTCCTCCTGCACCGCCCTCCGGTTCTGCCATAGGCTCCCAGGTCCTGCATTCACACCCATGGAGCCCCAGCAATTGGCGGAAGCTGGGGCCATTGAGAGGAAATGACAAATTGGCCTAATGTGAGAAGGGACAGTGTGAAAAACACAGCCAGACTCTGGGCCTGAGCCAACCACTGAATTTTTTGTGACTTTAGTTTAGACTCACTTCTTGGAGCCTCAGTTTCTTCTTCTGAGAAGGAGGAGGTCAGAGTCCTGGTCCCCAAGGGCCCTTCCACCTCTGAAATGCCACCTCTAACCCGGGAGAGTTTGCCTCTGAATGCCCCCCTTTGGTGTGTGGGGGCAGGAGGAAGTGGCGGCACATGCCAGTCGCCCCCTCTACGCAGTCTCGTTCTTTTCTTGGCCTGCTCCTGGGGTGCCTTCCCTTCCACTGGGTCCTGCCTTGCCCTCTTTTGCCCCAGAATTGTGAGCAGCAAGGCAGGAATCTAGGCCTGGCTAAGTCACAGACCTAATTCTCCGAGAATTGCAAGAGCTTACACCTGCCAACAAGGCTCTGGGAGCTGATCCCTCCCCTACTGCACCCACGCTCTATTCCAATCTCCTCTCTCCTGGTCATTTTACACCCGGCCCCTCACTACCCTCTGCAGGTCAGCAGTGTGGCAACTAAAATGGCTCTGCTCCCATAGCCCCTGGAGACTCTGCCACAGCGTTGTGACCCTGGGCATCAAGGTCCTGCTCACTGCCTGCCTGCCAGCCCACCGAGGCCTTGAGCCCAGTGTGTGGCTCAGGCCCCAGCAGCCAACTCAGAATAGTGGACTCAGACTAGTGGCTGCCTGAGTGGAGGGAGGAGCCCTGAGCAGGCCCCACTCCCGCCATCATCCTGGCTCCTGTGTTGGGTCCGCTGCCTGTGCAGAGATCCCGACTCAGCTCTGGCTCTGCTGTCAATTTTTAGTAGAGAGCTAGGGGAGATGCCCACGTGGTGGTGACTGTGGATTCGGTGGTCCATGGGCTCTGCCTCCCCCACTCCTTGGGAGACCAAGGGGAAGAGGGCGTCCCTGAGGACTCCCCGAGAGGAAAGAGCTGGTAGGGGCTCTCCTTCCCCCACCCCCCAGGGCAGGGAGGATGGCCACCTTCGCTCTGGGAGCCTGTCCTCATCTTGGTCATGTCCATCTGGATAGCGAGGGGGTGAGAGGGTGGGGTTGGGAGGGCGGGGCAAGAATTTGGCCCAAGCTTGAGAATCGGCCATTCAATATCTGAGCATTTGACATTAACAGCTGGGCAGTAGGTGTCTCCAGGTTCAGCCTGGTTTCTTGGCAGCTCTTTTACCTCCTCCCTGAACCCTTCCCCGGTGGAACGTGAGCTCTGAGATCAGTCTCCCGGTGCCCACATCTGCATGTCCCATTAGCCCAGCCCAGCCGGTAGTGATCAATCCGGCATGACTGAGCCATAAAGGGCTGCTGTCTGTCCGGAGGAGGTGAACCAGTCAGTCTTGAGCCGGGTAGACAGGAGGCAGAGGGAGGAGACAGAGACACAGACACAGTGGAAAACAGAGAGGACACAGAGAGTTAAGTGAGAGAGACAGAGGGAGAAAGACTCAAAGAGAGTAAAAGAGAAGCAAGGAGGTGAAGAGAGAGGGACAGACCAACAAAAAGAGGGGAGAGAGAAAGAATAAGGGAAAAACAGGAACAAGAGAAAAAAAAGGGAAGGGAGGGGGTGAGAGGCATAGGGAGAAAGGAGGAGAGGGGAGGGGGAGAAGGGAGACATAGAGGAGGAGGAGGAGGAGGAGGAGGAGGAGAAAAGGACAGGACAAGACAGAAGCACTGATGGTAGGAACACTGCAAAGACTGGACCCGGGGGGCCTGGCCAGGACATGGGGGAGGGGGAAAGCCACACTGCAGTCTCTCACGCCAGGGACTCCTGCCATGACTCTTGTAAGGCCAAGGGGAAGGGCAATGAACTCCAGCCTTGTCAATCCTGTCTTCGAGGCCTGCCTCTCTGCTGGGCCCCAGAATGGCCCCCAGCTCTCCTGGTCTGACATCTGACTGCCCCACCCTCCGAGACTTGCCTCCGCCCTCTCCCTGCAGGCCCCTGGACCCTGCGGTCCTGGCACCCCGCACCCCTCCTCAGCGTCCTTTCCAGAGCCTCTGTGCATGGATCCTCTGCCCGAGTGCTCTGGCCTCTCACCCCATGGTGAGGAGGTGGGTGCCCAGAGGCGCAGGCGCTGTGGGCAGTTGACAGGAGGAGGCGATGGAGCAGCTGGGAGAGGGTGAGATCTGCTTGGCCGAGCACGATGGCCTAGTTTCCAGCTCTTCACTCAGGTGACACAAAGCCAGCTCACTCACTCGGGACTGCAGCTAAAAGCTCCAGTAATGAGCCCAGAGCTTGAGAGTCCAGGACTGGGGTGGGAGGCGCAGCCAGGGGGAAACACAGCCCACGGACAGGGAGCGCTACACGAATCAGTCACCGCCACGGGGATGATGGCTTCAGGGGAGGACCCCCGGGTTGTGGGGCAGGACAGTCTCCCCATCTCCCATCTTTGGAAACCCCGAGGAAGGAGGCTCGTTAAAATGTAGATCCCTGAACCCCACCGCAGATCGACCGACCAGGATATCTGGGAGCGGGGCCTGGGAATCAGCATTCTTCAAAGCTCTCTAGCCAATTCTTACAGATTGGAAACCAATAGCCTAGCTGAGTGCAAGGGGAGGAGGGGATCTGGCCCATGTGGAAGATTTTAAAATGTGGCCCAGCAACTCATGGGCCACCAGGGTAGTGGCTCATGGGGGCACATGCGTCCCCACCAGCTCTCAGGGGCTGCTTTCATGGTGGGGATGGTGAGGGAAGGAAGGACAGAGGTACGGACAGATGCTGACCCCCACCACATGAACACACACACAGTTCATGCCTTTCTCCTTGCAGTGGCCACCACGGGGCAGCAGTGTTTAATGGGCAGCTGGTGTCCAGGGATTCTTAGACTCTATGGGGGGAAATCTCAACATTTTCTCAAAACCTCCAGATGGAAGGAAGAACCTGCATTGGATGGTGAAAAGGCACCATGACCCCCAGTAGACAAATCCCTTCCTTGCCATAGACTTGCAGTTGGACCAGGTGGCCTCTCAGGACCCTCCACACTCTGACATTCTCTGGAAAAGACTGCAAAGCAGAGATGGCCCGCAGTCAGTCTCCACAGGCTCTCTAGGTGCCCCAGGATGGCAGGACCCTGAGCATCATTTCTGGTTGCCTTTGGAACACAGTTCACGATGACTGCTTCTCCCATGCCCCCCAGAGATCCTTCCTGGTGGGGCCTGTGCCTCCTGGGGCAGGCGGCTGGACCAAAGATATGCCCTCCAACAAACCTCAGGGGCCCCATCATCCTAGACTCACCCACGGACCTTGCCCCTCCCCATGGCATGATTTTTTTCTCACCCCCTAAGGAGAAGCTAAGTAGAAGCTTCGGCCTGTGCCTTGCCCTCTGCTATCTCTCCTCTCTTCCTTCTCCGTTTGCTTCTGTTATTTTGTAGTATCTACCAGCACTAAAATCTCCCTTTCCCTGTTCTCTTTGCCACCCTGGAATTCTTGTGGGGAGCAGATTGTTGACAGCTTTTCCAATCTATCGTGTTGCCTCCACCCAGAACAGCCAACCACCATCTCTCCTCTTTGATCATCTTTAAGGTGAAAAAGAACACATGTTTCTGGGTGGTATTTTCTGGTGTATAACCTCCCCATATTACAGAAGGCAAAATAGACCACAAAGGGGCTTACTCCCTGTTCCCACAACTACAAAGAGCAGGTGTTTGGCTTCCTGCTTGGGAGGCCTCTTCCCTTCTCGGAGCTCTTTCCGCTTCCCTGGAGGAGGGGTCCAGTCCTCACACTGGTGGTGAGGGGATCTTCTCTGTGCTCTCATTTACTAAGTATTGTTCTTAGCACCTCACTTAGTAGGCAATGGCACTCTTCTCAATCCTGTGTGATATTAACCATTACCCTGTTATTTTTTTATTGTACAACCACTATCCTGTTATTTTTTTATTGTATGTATATAGAAAACTGATGCTTGCAAGAGAGATGGCCCTGCAGGGACACACAGCGTGCATCGAATTCCTTGCTGGCATCTCCAGGGCCAGGCAAATGTGTCCCCTCCCCCTCTCAACATCTGGCCCTAGTCCGTCTTCCTGGGGGCTGCTGCCTCATCCAGGTGCCCGATGGGAGCCTGGGAGGGGCCAAGGGGGGACAACCAGCCATGGCCATAAAGTCATGTGTGAGGAACCACTTCACCGTCAGCAGTCAGCATGAGGCTGTGTGGCCACCCTGCAGTTTCAGAGCTGGCCTGGGCACACGGACCACCGCAGTGGACTAGATCCTTGGCCTTCTACCTTCCCCTTTCTGGTCTGCCCTTCCTCCCTCCCTCCTTTCTCCTTTCCTCCCTCCCTCCCTTCCTTCCTTCCTTGCTTCCTTTCTTCCTTCCTTCCAACAC